GATGACGGCGCTGGACGGCACCACCCTCAGTCTCAACGGTGGCTTCATGAGCATTAGCCTCTAACACTGTGGCTCTCTCTGTCGCGCCGGAGGCTTGCTGTACAAAGACTGCGTCACCTTCTGCCAAGTGACGTGGAGCGGTGTGATGCCGTGTGTCGTACCTGTCCTTGACAGAGACCTTCACTGCAGCTTCTCGCACTCTAACGGCTTCATCCAGTTCGTCATCGTCCTCTTCCTCAGAGTCTGAACCGGGGCAGCGCAGAGCTTTCAACTGCGTGCGGAATCCACCGCGCAGGAACAGATCTGCCGGAGCATGCCCTTTGGTGGCATTCACCGTGGAGCGAAGGGTACCGAGCGACTCTTGCATCGCTCGCTTGAGGGACGCCTGCGATGACTTTCTGAGATGGCGCTTGAGTGTCTGGTGCAAACACTCTACCGGGTTTTGCCTTGGGGTGTATGGGACAATAGGCTCGTGCTGGATGCCCCAGTCACGAAGCTGGGCTGCGGTCTCTGCACTGACAAACTGGGGACCGTTGTCCGAGATGACGCGCACTGGATACCCAAACATGGTGAACATAGCGCGAAGAGCTGTCACCACCCGCGAGGACGTCTCTCCGGTCAGTTCTGCAACGAGTGGATAGCGGGAGTATAGATCCATCACACTCAAGAACGCCTTTCCACCATAGTAGAAGATGTCAATGGCAACCGTGTGCCAGGGCCGTGGTGGTAGCTCTCTGGGCTGCAGAGGTACCTTTGTCGGTCGAGCTTCGAGCGCACATGGCTCGCAGCTTTGCACGTGCCGCTTCGCTGCGTTGGCCCAACCAGGCCACCACACTGACTCCTGCAGGCGTGCCTTGGTTTTCGGGATGCCGGGATGCCCATCATGTGCCAGCTCGAGTACCTCAGGCACACAACACTCTGGGATGACTAACCTCTCCCCTCGCAAGATGACAAAGTCGTCAGTCTTAGGGTACGGCCATACACTCAACTCGTGGCGAAGACCACGGTACGGTGGCACTGCGGAGGTCGACGGCCATTTGTCAGTCAGGAGAGCTTGGTGCACTGCACATAGCGTCTCGTCCTGGGCTGTCTTGGCGGCTATCTTGCGTCGTTGATCAGGTAGTAGACCGTCAGCACAGGAGATCGCTTGCACGACCAGGAAACTGGTGTCTGCCTGTTCGGTCGGGAAACGTGACAGAGCATCGGCTAGCACGTTTAACTCGCCAGGGCGGAACTGGGCTTGGTAGTGAAGGTCTTGCACCTTCAGGATGAGCCATTGCACCCGTACACTGGCGGCTGACAGGTTGTATGCACGGTCAAACACTTGCAGAAGTGGTTTGTGATCCGACAACACTGTCACGGAAAGGCCGGTGATGAAACTGCGGAAACGCTGCAGGCCCCAGACTATCGCCAGTGCCTCTCTCTCGATCGTAGCGTAGCGGGTTTCTGGTCCAGTCAGTTTACGACTAGCATAGTACACGGGACGCCACTCGTCACCGTCGTGCTTCTGCATGAGGACGGCTCCTAGACCTGTGCCAGAGGCGTCGACTTCAACGTGCGTCGGCAGGGTAGGGTTGAAGAGTGCCAACACGGGCTCAGTTGCAAGGTGTTGTCGCACTGCGGCGGCTGCCTGTGTACATGCTGGAGTCCGGTCCCAGCTTCTAGCGAGCAGAGCTGTCAACGGAGCGAGCGGGTCAGCCAGGTTAGGCACGAACTTAGCTAGGTACATGGTAAGGCCAAGAATGAAGCGCAGTTGAGAGACGTTCTCCGGATCAGCCATCTCATGGAGTGACTTGACCTTGTCCTCACCTGGTCGGACGCAGGAAGCTGAGACTCGATGGCCCAAGAAGGTCAGCTCCGTGACGCTGAATGCACACTTCTTGCCGTTGAGCGTGACACAGTTCGCCTTGAGTGCTGCTTTCACCGCTGCTAGTCGCTTGTCATGCTCCTGTTGAGAAGGAGCGAAGACGAGGATGTCATCCAGATAATTAGCACACCCTCAATCGAGCCCAGGATCTGCTCCATATTCCTCTGGAAGAGCTCAGGACCACTTGACACGCCAAATGGTAATCGGCGGAACCGGTAGTGCCCCAATGGGGAGGCAATGACAAACGCATGGTGGCAGTCTGGAGTTAGTTCCAGCTGCGAGTAGCCAGACTTTAAATCTAACTTCGAGAATACCGTTGCGCCGGACACCTGCGCCAGGAGGTCGTCGGTGGTTGGCAACTGCACACCAGGCCGGCGTACGGCAGAGTTGACTTGTCGCAAGTCGACACACCACCCGACCGTCTTGTCCGGCTTCATCACCGGGACAAGGGGAGAAACGAAATCAGTGGCCTGCACTTCACTAACGGTTTCGACCACACCCTGTTCCGTCCATGCCTGCAGTTGCTCTCGTAATGAGGGGAGCAAGGCCGGTGCCACTCGCCGAGCTGACTGCTGGATCGCTGGTTGACTGGAATCCAAGTGGATCGTCACCGGTCCATGCATAGCTGGGAGCGACGCCAACTCCTCGGTGTCGGCATGAATGCTGATACCAGCGACAGGTGGTGCCAACAATCCTAATGCAAGTGACACACCTTCACCCAGGAGCGCCGGCACTGGCTGCTTGGAGTCGTCAACAACAAAGATAGTCTCTTGTACAGTGAACTGGTTGTATGTGATGCAAGCCTCGAAAACGCCAACAGGTTTGAGCTGAGACGTTCCTACCGGACGTAATGGGCAGGGCGATGACGATAGCCAATACTCACTCGGTACTTGTGACTGAGGCAGGACCGTCACCATGCTGGCCGAATCCACGCGCATAGCCCTTTGGTGCTTGCCATCTAGCACTACCGATCGTAGTGGAAGCACAAATCCAGTTTTCCCGGACCAGACCCTGAAACATTCTGCATCGTCGTCGACATCGCTGTCATCCATTTCCGCAAATTTCGGTGAAGACACCTGACTTCTGGACAATGGCGTTGCTGCTGGTCGGGAATCATTTGCCATGGCCAGGCTGGCAGTCATTCCTGGTTTCGTGCCCAGGTACTGGCCTTTCGGCTTGGGCTTCGCTGCGCCGGAACGGCAGACTTGCCCGAAATGCCCTTTCCATCCACACTGCTTGCACACGGCGTCGGCCGCCGGACAGTGCCACTTTCCCGGTGGGTGCGTCGCTCCGCAGTACCCACAAGTGGGGTTACTGGTGTATGGAAGGCTGGGTCGGCCTTGTGTCTGGGGAGCGGTGTAGCTGACCTCGACTTCCTTGGCCGGCGTCTCGCGCGCCAACACAACTGCTTGAGCTCGCTTGGCTGCAGCCGTCAGGTCCTTGCCTCCCTCTTGCAACACACCCTTCCGGGCCGCTTTCACAGACAGGCCACGTGCAAACAAATGTACGGCGACTGTGCCGAGTACATCTTTTAGGTCAGCTCCTGGAGTGAGATTGCATACTCTCATCTCTTTCTCGATTCGGACCCGAAACGCCTGAATCGATTCCCCAGGCTGCTGCTCAATGGAGAACAGCTCAGCAAGCCTGGCATCCGTGCTGCGCTGGCTTCCGAAATACTCATCGAAGAGCCCAATCAGTTCCGCGAACGGGTCGTCTTCCTCAGGGATCGTCGGAAATTTCTGCCACAAATAGTAGCTTGCATTTTCTCCTAGATTCGCCGCCGCGGCCAGGTACTGCTTCTTCTTGTTGGTCACCTCGTGGAGCTGGAAGCCGATGTCCAGTTGACTTCTCCACGTCTGGTAATGGTCATGGCCGAGTTTGTGATCTAAGTCCAGCTTGACAGATACGCGGACTTTCGATGCCATTGTTGTCGCCGTCGTCAGTCAGATTTTCGGAACGAGTGCCAAATCCTGTTCACTGCGCCAATGTTGAGTCGGGCTCGCTCGTTCGCAGACTGTTAGACAACAACTGGATGGGTTCTGAGATATCTCTTACTTAGACTATCATGATCGCAGACAATACTACAAGACAAAAGCAAAAGTGAAAACCACTCGAAAAACCATGTCCGCCATTCTAACTCTCTCTCTCCAGAACTCCCTCAGCACAAACTCACCACTCACTCAAAGTATGGAAAAGCCCGCAAAAAGCGATAAGCACGTGACACGCAGATACCGTGCGACACTAAAACACAGCTAACAGTGCACTACACGTAGGGTAGTGACGACAATGCAAAGTCAGATACATGGCGACTGATATCATGCAGATCAGTAGCAGTTCAGTTAGTTGAGGTTGAACCTCAACAACACACACACACACACACACACACACACACACACACACACACACACACACACACACACACACACACTTGTACTTGTTGCTCACTGCCAAAACTGGTCACGTGGGTCTCCCCGGGAGAAGGAAGAATGACTCAAAAGGAATCTTGGAAAGATGACTCAATTGGCTATTGAACCGCCCAGCGGCCGACACCCCCTGAAATCCCCAAAACTCTGGGTGGACTTGAAAATGATCCCACTTATGGGCTCACCACACCTCAGTAAGTGGGTGAGGACAAGGTGCAGAAAAAGGATTGACGCACTCTCTGATCAGGGTATGCGTCCTGGGATCCAACTGCAGTTACCCCTTCCCCCAGTGAAGGTAATACTTGCTACTAGTGCGGGTGGCTAAATCAGGCTGGATCTGATTTAGACATTACTAGCACCATTAATTACACAAGAGTTAATCTAGCCAGAAGCAGTCCATGGTTACAAGGTATGTACACTTCAAATAGAAAGTATATGAACCCTGGAACCAACAAAGGTGGCAAGTACAACATTACAGCTTCAAGCAGCCGAGCCCGTTGGCAACAGACCCAACACAATCAGGCATAAGTGTACCCAGCAACCAAACTAGCTGGCACACACACACACACACACACACACACACACACACACACACACACACACACATACACGCGCACACACACACACCCACACACACCCACACACACACACACTCACTCACTCACTCCCTCTCTATCTCTCTCTATCTCCTATTGCTGATTCCATTCCAG